AACATATATTCCTTTAACGCATAATAAAAATAATATAAATAATAATATTAATCATAATAATATAATAATATTAATAATAATAATAATAATAATAATTAATAATAATAAATAATAATAATATAATAATAATATAATAATAATATAATAATATAATAATATAATATAATAATATAATAATATTAATCATAATGATTCTTCTTCTTCTTCGAATATTAATGGTCCTGGTCTTAAAAATGATACGATGCATGAGGCGAGACGAAACTGAAACAGAAACTATGAAGTTTGTAGAGCTACAATCAGCTACAACTTACAGCGCCACTAGAATGAGATAGCATGATTTTTTCTCTCTCGCACAATTTCGACGAATAATGGCGGACTTCACGTGTCCAGACTCTTATTAGAGGGTCACTAACCAACACAACTCAAACAGACGACAATTATACTAATTTCCTTCAAATTTGAGCTTTCTAAGCACACACTGGCACACACCTAATCACAGGATCTTTAAACGGAACCATTTAAATGGTCCTGACAGAGAGTGACAGAGAACGGATAAGAAGAAGTGAGAAAGAAGTTTAGGTGGCGCGACTGGGCATCTTGCTTATTTAGCGCATGCGCACTCCATTTTGTGTGACATAAAATCGGGAGAGTTGCGCTACTGTATATACTGTGGTTTGGTGGTCCTGGTTTGCGCGACTTGAAGTCTTGAACGGCGTGAATTAGCAAGCGTCGTGTATAGTGAGTGACATCAAGTGACATGGCTACGAGTATTTCGGAAGAAATCGAGGTACGTTGATAATGGATTGTGTCGTGCAGAAACACCGATTTCGTCCGCAGATTGCAGCGAAAAGAAACACCGTCGCGATGTCGTGTAACGACAATTTTTCTCTGCTTATCTTTCGCATTCCTTTCGTTATTCTTTTCTCTTTGCGTCCCTTGCCCTCTTGCTCCGTGTCGAAAGCATAGAAAATAAGTAGCAAGGTTTGCGACGTATTTACATTCGTTCGGTAAATGTGCTCCGCCACGCCAGGTTATAAATACTATCAGTTTATAAATAATCGTCAGAAATATCGCGGGACGATTGCGAGAGGCGGCATAGTCGCATGGAACCAACTGGAACTTGTATGCTAGAACCGACTGGTGAAACGTGTTGCGCACGCGATCCATCACAACCGTTGATAGAGGTTAGCGCGATCACGCATAAAGCTATCCATAATTGGCCAAATTACTGAATCGGTGGACCTGAACTTAATGCTGAACGCAATTTTTTCTGTTGTCGGGTACACAGTGATGTAAACTTCTTCTAGGAAATCGATCGAAAGCAGAATACGGAAGTAGCGAGTTCGGGCGAGTTTCCGCCTGAATACTTAATCAAGCATCCATTGCAAAACACCTGGACTCTGTGGTATTACGAGCCCGATAGGACTAAAACATGGGAAGAAAGTCAACGGGAAATAACGAGCTTTGATACAGCTGAGGATTTCTGGAGGTAACAATTTTTCTTTTTTTAAAGATATGTGAAATGTCAAACGTGAATTATAGTGAAAGAAAATCCTTTTTTTTGTTATGTGCAGCTTGTACAACCACATAAAAACAGCCTCAGAGTTAAGACAAGGTTGTGACTATAGCATGTTTAAGCAAGGAATTCGGCCTATGTGGGAGGACGATCAGAACAAGTGTGGTGGACGATGGCTAATAAATCTAGACAAAAAGCAAAGAACTACAGATCTAGATAATTTTTGGTTAGAAATTCTGCTCTGTATGATTGGGGAAGCCTTCAATGAATATTCCGATGACGTTTGTGGAGCTGTAGTAAATATCAGACCAAAAGGAGATAAACTCGGTGTCTGGACGTCAAATGCAGATTGCGCAGATAGTGTTATGGAAATTGGGTAAAACATCAAGCTATTTTGATTTTTCTCTTCTTTTTTTGTCTGATTTTTTGGGCTGACTAATATCAGATAATTTATGAATTTAGCCGAAAACTCAAGGAAAGATTAAGGATTACATCTAAAACTACTATGGGATATCAAGTACATAAAGATACTATGGTGAAAGCTGGCAGTCAAACAAAAAATACTTATACACTTTAAATATCATTAAAAATTTATGATATCACCCTTAAGTTGTTCATTAAAATATGTTAATTTCAAAAATCATCAGATAATAAAATTGTATGAAATTATGTCTTTGCATTACATAGAAATAAAAATTTTGTTTTCAAAAGCATGTTACATCATTGTTGTGTTTCCATAGAAATTAAATTAAAATTAATAAACCAAAAATGAAGTAGACGAATATATTCTACCGCTGGCGTTATCCATGTATGCATCAGTGATGAGTCTTGCCTTGGCTGGATGAGTGATTGGTCTTACCTTAATCCTTAAGCTCAACGGATTCAGCTTTCATCACAAAACCTATTAAATTGGTCTTTACGAGAGATTCTGATTGGGCAGGAGAATCCCTCGGTTTTTCTTTCCTTTCTTAGATTTAAAATTCACTTTACAACTTTTTTTTTATTATCGTGATTCCTCTTCTTCAGGCTTCTTCAACCTATTTGGTCTTACCTTATAACTTATTATAACAAGTACTTAACGCAAAGTAATTTTATTATAGTGTGGTGTTTTGGAAAGCTCTCGAAATAAAACTACAAGAATATTATAATAAAAACTAGGAGTTTAAAAAAACATTAATGACCTTAACCTGATATTGATAAGGTCACTCAAGGTAAAGTTTACATTTCCATCCCAGTTTACATTTCCATGTGTCCCCCTTCAGCCATGGCATTTTTGTTCGACAAATCTTCCAATAAAATCATCGATTCGTGAAATTTACTATGTTTACACGGCACGCTTTACGCCGAAGTTATAACATCGATGTTATGAAACTGGCCAATTATAGCTATTCCTCTGAAGAATGGAATGACTGTGATTGGCTACTTTCATAACATCGATGTTATAACTTCGGCGTAAATCGAACCATGTAAACGTAGTAACCAGGAAGTAAGATATAAGGAGACTCCACTCCGTAAAATAAAAGTGGACCCATTTTAGGTTTCGAGTTCAGCTTCCGATTCTGATGAGTGCGAGTAAGAGAAATGATCATTTCTCTTACTCGCACTCATTATGCGCAGCACTACTAAATTCACGAGCGCTGCGAGTGTCGAGAATCGGAAACGGAACTCGAAACCTAAAATGGGTTCATGTCTTGTAGACTGGCGAGACCGAGTGGAGTCTCCTTATATCTTCCTTCATGGTCCTAGTAGTGACCCTCTAATAAGAGTCTGGACTAGAGATCCTATATGGAGAGATGGGCCAATGTCCGGCATGATGTTGTGAAACCGGAAATCACATGATCTTGGAAATGCGCGCTAATATATCAACGCCAATTTCGAAACATCACGTAACACTACTTGTTTATTATAACTTTGTTAACTCAAAGTTGTAATGAATAATTATTAGAGAAAGTTTATTTTTCGTAAATATAGAATTGTGGATAAAACAGACAAAATAGACAAAAACGTGCAAAACGTATTAAATTCGAATAAAAAAGTTGCTTTCCATTTACACACAGTGATACGAAATCTGAAGTGATATGAATATTTTATATTTAAACAATGACTTTACTACTTATTTATTTGGTGAAAACTTATCGCATAATAACACAGATTTCTAACCTCATATTTAATGTGAGTTAACAAGATTTAATAAATCATACGATCTCGAGTTTGTGCAGATTGTTGGCAAAAAGTCAATTGCCAGAATGAAAAAAAAAA